GTGGGGATGGGAAGCACAAACTCTGCAAGGGGTTACCCTGTGTGGTGTAAGCAGGGCCACTCCTGGGCCCATCTGCTGTAGTTACAGGGGACATGGCACCAGATACCAGCTGTCAGTTCAAGGCATATACTGCATCCTGGAGGACAGGCTGAAGCCTGAGGGACATCTCTCCAGTTGGTGCCTTAGCTCAGTGTTCAGTATGTCATTCCATTATTCTGAGTGATGGCAGTGTTCACATGAGACCAGTGAAACCGTGGTTAGGAGTCATTAGTGCACCTGGTTGGCTGCAATGGGCCACTTGGTCTGAGCTGTGCTGTACAGGAATCCAGGTGCCAGATGAGGCATTCGGTAACTTTGGGCCGTGGTGCTGCTGGAGGCACTACAGGCAGGGAAGACAACCCCATGACCAGAGAGCACACTGATTCCATCAAGGACAAATTGCCTATCCCTCCAAAGTGGAAGGGGTCTGATACAGTTGGTGGCTGTCTGGTTCTTCTCAAGGGACAGGCTGTATTGTGGAGGATTCAGCATTAGTCTCTACTGCTGGCAGGTTGGGTGCTCAGTGGAGCAGCAAGATGTGGAGGCAAAAGGAGGGAGAGAAAGGCAAGGGAAGGAGGCATCGTGCTGTGATGATGCTTTAAGGTGCTGGCCACTGCTTCACAGCAAAATGCAAGGGTCACAGAGGCCATTCATGCTCTCTGAGCCATCTCTCGGCTTATGGACTTCTCCAGAAGGTTTGCAAGGATACCTTGGAGAGGTCCACAGAGGGGATAAGTGATTTACCTGCTTGGTTCCCATCCACTTCCCATTTCCCACTGGTCATGGCACTAACCTTTCCACACTGTGGCTTGCAGGAAACCAGCTTCTCATGGCCACTTAGGAAGTCAGATTCCATACTCTGAGATGCAGCACTTCTCCCAAGCTCAGAAATGGAGGGGCGCTCGGCTCTAATGGGGCACTAAGAGACATAATGGAGGAGGTGGCGAAGGGAGTCTGAGGTGGTGAACAAGGTTTGTGTCTAATACAGATGGGCTAGTCACTCGCCAGAGGTGGTCTCCGTGGCTTAGAAAGTGCTACATTAACTATTATGGGCTTCCAAGTTCTGATAGCCAATGTCCTTGCCAGAGGTGAGAGTGTGACCTGGATCACTACTGAGTATTACTTGGCTGACAGTCGGTGTAGCTCATGTAATAGGATGTAGGTTGTGGTTAAGTTCTCGTGCAGTTAAGTTATACTGTAGGTGCTTCATATTTTGTTTCTACTTGTTCTAAATACATCAGATATCCATTCGGTAGCAAGGATATCATTAGATAAAAACAGCAGAAGATATAGGAACATGTATGTTAGCTATGAGCTCTGACGTAACTGGGAAGTCCTAGGACATGGCCTGGTTTGTCTTGTGGTAGGGAGGCCACTGAAGCCACCTGGGGCTCAGTGGGAATAGCTGGGTCTGGGTTGTTGCATGCCTGCGTAGTCTCCCGGGGGAGCAGAGTTGCCACTGCGGCCTGCAGGGCCCGGGTCCACAGCATACTGTGAGTGGGGCTCTAACCTTGCTGCCATCTGGACTATTGGGCAGCCATGGAAGGTCGACCTTCATAGAGAGGGTTACCTCAACCAGGATTCGTAGTGGGAGAAACAGAATCTTTTATATATGGCATGAGCGGGTGCACCACGCCCAAACAGCAGTCTGAATTTCAGGATATGTCCTTACTTTTCAGCCCTTTCAGGACTGAGTTTGAAACCATTGAAAGTTTTAAACAACTGAACAAACAGAATAAAAAAATAATACTTTGGTTACTGGCAAAGAATGGATTAAATATGAAACATCTAAATGAAAGAAAAAAGAGCAGAGCTAAATTCTAGGACCAGCCATTGCATTTGACCTTGATAATTTTAAGGGCCTTTAGCCCCCAAATTCACATATTCCATAATATAATTTCTTCCAAATAATGCAGAAAAGTAAAACTGAAAAATTAAAGTAACTGCCTCAAGACCCAAAAGTAACCTTAATTAGAAAGAGGAAAGGTTCCATTTAGATTTGGGTACTGGGTGGCTTAGAAAAGCTAATCTGCTATATTTTCCTTTTCTGAAATGCTCTTTTTACTTTTTCATGTCTACCTGTTCTTGTTTCATTTTTTCTTTTTCTTTTCTTTTTTTGCGCCTGGCCAATGTAGGGCTCTGAATCCTTGACCTTGGCTTTACATGGCAGGGCTTTTTTGTTATTGTTTTTGTTTCATTTTCATCAGCTTTTATTTCATACATTATCCCTCCTTTCATTGATATTGTTCTTTCATCTCTGAGAATCCTAAACCTGTTTATACTAAATCCTTTTCATAGCATTGTGTTAATTCTATTTTGTCTGAAATGACTCATCTTCTGAGGCATCGACTTTGTTGGCTTCTTTATTAGCACTGGTTTTCTTCACTGGTTTTGAGTTTTGGGGTTTTTTTTTTTTTTCCTTTTTGTCTTTTTTATTGACCAGTAACAGGATCGCAACCCTCGGTGTCACGCCCGTACCGGGGACCGGCAACGGGATTGCAACCCTCGGTGTTGCGCCCGCACCGCGCTCAGCCAGTGAGCGGGAACCGGTCTCCACATGGGATCCGAACCCTCGGCGGGAGTGCCGCTGTGCTCCCAAGCGGCGCACTCTCCAGTGCACCACCGGGCCGGCCCTTGAGTTTTGGTTTTGAGGCTCATCTTGACAGGGAGGTCCTGTCTCCATCCCTCCGCATCACTCACCACTCTCCTCTTTTTGGTCTAGTGATTTTTCTTAAGTGCCTCTGCCTAGTCCCCTGGAGAGTCCAGTCTAGAACCTGATCCTTTGATGGGGACTTGGGGCTTCTGCCCTTCAGTAACATTGGAAATATCTCCAGTCCAGTCAGTGAGCCTGAAGGCAAGTGAGTTCAGGTTTTGGCCACAAGAATTTGTATCAGCCATGACCCTGAGAAGAAGGTGATATCAGCATTAATTTTTTTTTTTTACTTTTGAAATAACTGAGCCTTACAGAAAAGTTACAAAAGTACAGCAGAGTTCCTGTCTACCTTCACCTGGCTTCCCCTCATGATAATATCTTACCTCACCAAAGTACAATTAGCAAAACTAGGAAATTAACATGTTATAATATTGTTAACTAAACTCCAGACTTTTTTCAAATTTCACTTGTTTTTCCAGTCTTTTCTTTCTATTTTATATTCCAATCCAGGATCCACGTTGCATTTAGTGGTTTTCTATGCCCGTAATTTCATCTACTTTTGTTAAAGAATATCTGTTCCTTCTCCCTGTTTATTTATTCCTTTCATTGTTTACTTCTATCACATGGACTCATTTGTATTTTTTAAGTCGATGGGTTGTAATCCAGTCTGATCACTGCTTTTTATAACTTCCAGCCCAGCCCTGATTTCACACAGTGGCCTGGCTTCCATCTCCCACCCTGTACAAGGCACTTCATTCTCCATTTTTCCACAGAAACTTCTGGAACTCTTGGCCTTCTCTGCTTCTTTCTTGCTATTAGGCCCGGGAAGCTTGCTGTTTTAGTTTTACAAGAAGTGTCTAACTCCTTCATGTAGACTGCAGGGTACTGCATTTGGTCCCCGCCTGATTTTCCAGCTTCATTTTTCCCCAGTCACTCTCTTGTTCTCAATCCAGAACCCTTTTCTGTTCTTAGAAAGCTGTAAACTCCTCCTTGCCTCGTGGTCTTTTGCCCCTGCTGTGCCCTCTGCCTAGAACACTGTTCACCCCCTTCTTCTTTTTGAACAAAGCCACTATGTCTTTTTGTTTGTTTGTTTGTTTATTCAATACACTATTTAACACCTGAACAATCTCTAGCCTAAAGCATCTTTAAATTAAAAACATTAGGCTTCCAGCAGGCACGCCTAGCTTTGCCTGTTTTGTAAACTAGAATGAGTTTCCTTTGAGTGAAAGATGCCAGCACCTAAGAGCTGGCCTTCCCTTCAGCAAGACATCATCTTCTCTAAGGAATGTGACCAAAGCAGAAGGGAATCAGAAAAGGCAACAGCTGTTCCAAAAAAGATAAATGTCTTATTGAGTATCAAGTCACTTGACTTTAGAGCTGGTAGAAGAATCAGGAAAATGACAGATGATGAATAACCAGGGAAAATAAATGAGAATGAAAGGGCAGCAGAAACTGCCGAGTGAGCTCCTGCCATAGGCAGTATTAAACGCCGAGCAATTGCATTGCCTTTCCCAATGTCCTCTGTGGGAAGAGATTTTGTAGTCATGGGGGGGGGTTCTGATTTGCCTTCTAGTGTCTAAGGGAGTGAGTTAAGTAGATCCAGTCATGATAACTGGGTCTCAGTCTTCAGACACTGGTCACAATTGGAAATGCCACACACTTTAGTCCCTGCTGCTTCCCTTTACTTTGATACCATTAGTTCCATAATCTCGTAACTAGCAAGGAGGACTGTACTTATCATGAGTTAGCGCTGTGTTAGCCCAGCCGGTGCCTATGACTCATCCTTGTGGGGCCAGAGGAGAATGGTGGATCTTGCGATGTAACAAAAGGACAACATCAGGGGCGATGCTACATTCCCAGATTGCTCCTACAGCAGGTGCTTCTGAGTCCACCCCCTTGGGCTCTGGGCCTCCAATCAGTTTTGGTGTCAGGATCCCAACCTACTTCAATTCCATGGTCCTGAGACCTAGTGGAAAGAGTCTGGCATGTAGTCCAAACTCCACCCTGCCTTGTTGGACTCTGGGAAGTCACCCCTCTTCTCTGTTTCTTGGTGTCCATGAGGGCTTAGACCACAGCAGACACTCCCTGCATGTGGCATGGATGCAGGCCCTCATCCCTCTGCCACTTTCCTCATGGGGGGCAGATGGGTGTTCAGAGTACCTCTTAGTCAAACAGTATCTCCCAACTTTGACCCAGGGCTCTCCCAGCAATAAGGGCCTTAGATTCTGAGGTTTGCCTTGAGGGTTTCCTTAGTCTGGAGCAATTGAGTCTGTGAGCTTCACCACATACCTTCTCTTGCATCCTACAGAAATCAGGGTGAAATGGCCCACACCTGCCGTGGAACCATCAACCTGTCCAGTGCGCATATTGACACAGAAGACTCTTGTGGTATCTTGCTGATCAGCGGGGCAAGGACCTACCACCTTAAGGCCAGCTCAGAGCTGGACCGGCAGCAGTGGATCACCGCCCTGGAGCTGGCCAAGGCCAAGGCTGTTCGCATGATGGACACCCATTCAGGTAGTGAGTGCTCAGCATGGTGGGTGTGTACGTGTGGTGTTGTGGTCTGGAGAGAGTGAGAATTGAAAGCGGTTGGGGGTGGGTGGTGACCAGGAGACCCAGGCAGGTCCAGACCAACCCACAAGGTCAAGGTTCATGTGTGCCCTTCCCACTCAGCTCCATGCATCCTCAGCAGTGAGACACTCAAGACGCTCAGTGCTCTGCCAAGGTGGCAAGGTGGCTGGCATTTCTCGGAATGGAAATGTTCGTGATGGGCCGGGGCTGTGTGTGCATTTCTTTGGCTGAGTCCGGGTGCCTGGACTTCAGCAGACCTTCAGGTGCTGCAGTGGGTCAGCTCCAGAAGCAAAGGCAAAGTGGGAAACTAGCTCAGATGTCCTGAGCAAGACATTTTATTTTTTACTTTAATAAATTTATTTTTCAATATGTAATGTTTTTATGTGATTTGTAAACCAATGGCTTCAAAAGCCTATGCAGTGAAGTCTGTCTTTGACTCCTGTTCCCAGCCACCCACCCCATTCTCCCATCCAGAGGAAACCAGAGGCATTTGTGTCTTTACGTATATGTTCAAATAGGTACTTATTTCAAAATAAATGCAGTTCTCCATCTTGCTTTTTTCCATTTAGCATTGTTCCCAGCCACCCACCCCATTCTCCCATCCAGAGGAAACCAGAGGCATTTGTGTCTTTACGTATATATTCAAATAGGTACTTATTTCAAAATAAATGCAGTTCTCCATCTTGCTTTTTTCCATTTAGCAATCTTGGAAATTTTTCTCCATCAGTACATAAAAAGCTTCCTCTTTGTTTTCACAGTAGTATTTCATTATATGAATGCACCATCGTTTATTTAACCTGCAGCCTGTTGATGAGCATTTAGGTTGCTTACTTATTTTCTGTGACACACTGCTGCAAGGAGTAACCTTGCAAATACTTCATTTCACACATGTACAAGTATGAATGAAGTGTACCTTCCAGGAAGCCAGGTGGCTGGGTCAGTGGACGTGTGCACTTGTAATTCCAGGAGATATTGTCAAACTGCCTTCCATGGGGGTGCACCGTGAGACACCAACAACCGTGTGTGAGCATGCTGGCCTCCCCAGCCTTGCCTGCCCAGAGCCATGGCAAATGTTGGTGACAGGTGCAGAGTGTGTGTGCACATGCCGGAAGTGGGGGTCGGGCAGCTGCGATCCTTCAGAAGTTATAAGAAACGTGAGACACCAACAACCGTGTGTGAGCATGCTGGCCTCCCCAGCCTTGCCTGCCCAGAGCCATGGCAAATGTTGGTGACAGGTGCAGAATGTGTGTGCACATGCCGGAAGTGGGGGTCGGGCAGCTGCGATCCTTCAGAAGTTATAAGAAAGATGGGCTGTGTTTCCACAGACCTGTGCATTTTCTGGGGAGGCAGGGCTCCAGGTGAGAAGCAGGCACAGCCTCTCTCTCCAGGATTGCCTCATAGGCTGGGTGGGGAGACAACGAGTCCCATGGAAGGAGCTCTAGCATAAAGAGGGGCTAGTGGCATTGGTCACCGTGCCCGATACCCTGCCTGCCCACGTTGAGGTCACTCCCCCAGTACTAGCTTCTCAACGTGCATCAAAGGGTGTCCAACATCAGTCTCGTCTTCTCTTTTGTCCTACTTTTGTGGAGTCTGGGTACCCCTGCTCAGTGACTCTTTTCCCTAGGGTTGGCCCCTCATGTGGCTTTGGTGTGTCAGCAACAATGCTGAGCTTGGCACCCTTGTACCACTCCCCAGGGCACCACCCCATTTCCCAGTGTAGGAGGGTGTGGGGGGCCATCTCAGGCATGGGCTGTGCTGAGACCTCCAGTAGGACTTGTGGTCTAAGTTTGGATGCCTTTGGAAAGCCATTGTGGCAAAAAGATGTGACTGGTGGCGTGGCCGGGTGAGGACAACCACACTGGCCAAGTGAGGATGCACTGCTGCTCACTGAAGAACTAGCTTTCTTTTGCTGCTTCTCCTTTCTAAGAAATAAATAAATAAAAGTAAGAAATAAATTGCTTCATTTTCTAGGAACTTTCTGAAATAATGCAGCCAGTGGTGTTTATTGGATTAATCATTCTGGAATAGTTTTCCGCTGGGGAGGAAGTGCTTGCTAACTCAGCAGGGCTGTGCTGGAGATTGCTAGCTTGGACTTCCTGGAGAGGTGGGGACCCCGAAGGAACAGCCTCAGGCTCACTTTCCTTCATTTTGTGTGATACAGCACATGGCTTGTGTTCCCAAGTGGGCAGCCTTCTTGGCAACGACACAGAACAGAGACAAACATTCAGGTACAGCTCAAGGGAGCACATGCTATGTGTCAGTGAGAAATGGTAGGATTCCTCTCCTTTTGGTTTTTTGAAGCACAAATGAACTAATGTGTAAAGGAGAAGACTTCAGGCAGCTACTATGTGTTTATAGAAAGGTTGAGGCCACCTGATTATGTCTTGAAAAATAGCCCTTTTGATGGCCTTCTCTTCAAGGTCGTGTCCTCCTCCCAGAGTTCTCAGGCTGATGTCAGGAAATTGTGGTTTGTAACTTTTTGCCTGTCTTGGAGTCAGCTTGGGGTAGTCCTGAATGAGAGGACTGCTCAGTGTGGTTCTCCCTGGGCCCAGCTAGGTCAAAGGCACAGACAGTGCTCTAAGCAGGCCGCTGTGGGTCATCCGGAGCCTGTCTGTCTCTTCCTGGACTGGGGACCCTGTCTCATCCTGAAGGAAGGCTACTTCCTACTTACACTTAACCTCTTGAAACCATTTGCCACTCTCCAGCTTTTGTGTGACACCCTAGTCCAGGTACCACCCTCTTACCTAGATGTCTGCAATAGCCTCTTGAGTGTCTTTCTGTCTCCAGTCAGTTCTCCAAAGAGCAAGCAAAAGAACATGTTTAAAATGGGAATTTGATAATATAACTACACTGCTTAAAACTCTTGGGTGCTATAAACCAACTAGACTTAACAAACATGTACTGAACACTCCACCAAACCTCAGAACACACTTTCTTCTCGAGTGCATGTGGAACATTCTCCAGGATAGACCATATATTAGGCCACAAAACAAATCTCAATACATTTTAAAAGATTTAAATCATATGAAGTATTTTTTCTGGGCACAGTGGACTGAATCTAGAAATCAGTAACAGAAGAAACACTGGAAAATTTATAAATATATGAAAATTAAACAACACAAACAGCCAGTGGATCAAAGATGAAATCACAAGGGAAATTATAAAATACTTTGAGATGAATAAAAACGAGACCACAATATACTAAAACTTATGGGATTCAGCAAAAGCAGTGCTCAGAGGGAAATTTATAGCTATAAAAGCATACATTAAAAAAGAATGAAATTGGACCCCTCCCTCATACCATATATGAAAAGTAACTCAAAATGAATCAAAGATCTAAATATAAAAGCTAAAACCATGAATCTCTTAGAATAAGAGTGGAAGTAAATTTTCATGATCTTGGATTTGGCAATAAGTTTTTAGATATCACACCAAAAGCACAAGCAACCAAGATGAAATAGACAAACTGGACTTCAAAATTAAAACTTGTGTGTGCTGTGTGCATCAAAGGACACAATCAAGAAAAGGAAAAGGCAACCCACAGAATGGGAGACAATATTTACAAACCATAGTTTTGGTAAGGGTTTAGCATTCAGAATATATAAGGAACCCTTACAACTTAGCAACAAAAAAGATAAACTACTCGTTAAAAAATGGGCAAAGAACCTGAATAGACATTTCTCCAAAGAAGATATACAAATGGCCAATAAACACATGAAAAGATACTCAACATTATTAGTCATTGAGGAAATGCAAATCAAAACCACAATGACATATCACTTCATACCCAATAACGATGGCTATTACTAAAAAAAAGAAAAAGAAAAAATGTCAGCAAGGATGTGTAGAAATTGGAATCCTTATACATTGCTGGTGGGAATGTAAAATGGGGCAGCTACTTGGAAAATAGTTTGACAGCTCCTCAGTAAGCTAAGCATAGAGTTACCATGTGACTCAGAAATCCACTCCTGGGTATATACCCAAAAGAAATTAAAACAGTATTCAATCAGAAACTTGTCCATGAATGATAATAACAGCGCTAGTCAGAGTAGCCAAAAGGTGAAAGCAACCCACATGCCCATCAGTGGATGAATGGATAAACAAAATGTGAAAACAGTATTCAATCAGAAACTTGTCCATGAATGATAATAACAGCGCTAGTCACAGTAGCCAAAAGGTGAAAGCAACCCACATGCCCATCAGTGGATGAATGGATAAACAAAATGTGGTGTGTTCCTACCGCGGAATGTTACTCAGCCATGAAAAGGAATGAAATGCTGACACATGCTGCAACATGGATGGATTTTGAAAACATGCTGAGAGAGAGAAGCCAGACTCATAAGGTCACATATTGTATGTTCCACTTAAATGAAATATCCAGAATAGGTAAATCCATAGAGACAGAAAGAAGACTAATGGTTGCTAGGGGCTGGAGGAAGGGGGAGATGGGGAGTGACTGCCTAATGGGTATGGGGCTTCGCTTCGGGGCAGTGACAGTATTGTGGAACTAGAAAGGTGATAATTGTACAACATTGTGATGTACTAAATATCACTAAACCGTATACTTAAAAACTGGTTAGGATGGTAAGTTTTATGTTGGTTTCATCACACACGCACAAAATCATCGTGGGCGGCTTGCCAGTGCTCTTTGGGTAAAGTCCAACTCCTCCCACACTGGCTGGCAGGCCCTGTGTGATCAGGCCTCTGCTGGCCACCTCCTTCCCTCCTGTTCCCCTCGCTCACGGGCTCAGCTCCTGCTTCAGGGCCTTTGCACTTGCTGGTCTCTCTGCCTAGAACACTCCTGCCCCTGTCCTCAGCCTGCCTGATTCCCACCCTTTAGATCTCAGCTTAATGTCACCTCAGAGAGCTGTAAACTGTCCCCTCTCTTGAGATATCTCCATCATAGCATCCTTGTTATTTCTTTCACTGCCATCTGCAGTTATTAA